CAGGTAAGTAAAGCAAACATTGGGGTCCTGTGTAGTGCAAACGTTAAGTGCTTCATATAATACTGCGTTGTCAGTGATGGCAAACATTGATATACAGGTGGATAGATGGGTAAACAGGCTGCACAATTAGGTATGTCTACATCGGGGGGAGTGTGCCCAAGACCATGTATAGGTTTGGCAGACAACGTTTCTACAAGTGTATTTGTATGTTCCAGGTATATAGTAGAGGTGACAAGGGACAAGGTTGTAGTCACTTCTTGGCCACAGTCAGCTACCCAGAAGGAGCAAGTAGTTGGACCTGTGGGGTCAGGACTGTGGTCACAGGGGAAATCAACCTCAATTAGCATAACATATTACACAAAAACACTGTTCCACATCCTACTTTGGTGAGTAGCAACTGGGATCTTAAAAGCTTACAAGTGGCCATCTAGATGCAACAATGGGTATCTCCTTGTCCAGAGAAAATCAGAACGAAGAAAACCAAAGATGCATGGAAACAATTAGTCCAAGGGACTGGTACACCATGAGACCCCCAGCCTATATGACTATGAGACCAGAAGAACTAGATAGTGCCTGGCTACCACTGTCCTCCACTCAGAGGGGGATCTGTGTAGGAGATACTGGATAGAGTGAAAGAAAAATGTGGAACAAAACTCAAAATCATAATAAAAAAGAGACCAGGTTTGCTGGTCTGATAGAGCCTGGTGAAATCCCTGAGACTATGACCCCTAACTGCCCTTCAGGTCTGAAATTGAACCCACTCCTGTGGCTTCCAGACAAACAAAAGACAGGCATATAAGCTGATTATTTACATTAGATAGATACACTCCTTGGAGAGAACAATCATGGGAGAATAGAAGGGCTGTGTTATGCACAGGGAGACAGCTCAGGGAGCAGGAGTGCATGGGAGGGAAGGCTAAAGGGAAGAGGTAACTATGGGGAGGAAGCGAGAAGAGAGCTGTTGCATTATGAGAAACTGCAGTCAATGTCATGAGACAGTGTATGTGAACTCCTGTATGGTAAATGAATTTGCTCTGTAAACTTTCACCTAAATCACAATTAAAAAAACAAAACAAAACAAAAAACCACTTTAAGTGCTTGACTAGCCAAAAGGGTGGCAGCTCAAACCCACTCAGAAGCACCTTGGAAGACAGGCCAGCAGATGTGCTTCTGAAGGGTCACAGCCTTGAAAACCCTGTGGAGCAGTTCTACTCTGTACACATGGCGTCCCCACGGCATGGAACTGACTCAGTAACAGCAACCACGACAAAGCAAAGAAGCACGAAAAGTACTGAGGGGGAAAAAGCGAAAAGAATGAACTGTAATGTGTGTAAATTAAAAGAAATAATTTTGTTGGTTGAGGAATCCTAGGAAGAAATTTAGACTATGGCAGAAGAGTGTAACTGTATTTCAGAAGGATGAAATAACATGAATATAGGAGATGGGGAAAAAATGCTGACTTACATCTCTTTGAAAATCAGCAGCCTCTGTACCACTAAAGGCAAATGGAGTTGCACAGAAACAATGCACTCTAATAGATAACACTGCTTCCCATGAAAGTGCAGAGTAGCAATTATGATACTGCTATACATATATCCATCATTTCTCTCTCAACTGGTCGTACCGTGATGCTGGAAGCAGGGCCAGCAGTATTTCAAGCACCTGCAGGGTCTCAGGTGAACAAACTGAGGTGGACCTTAACTAAGATAAGCTGGAAAGGAGGACCTGAAGATCCACTGCTGAGAACTGGCCGTGAAACCTCATGAACAGCAGCAGTTTAGAACCGCACTAAAAACCCAACAGAAGAGTTGCTGCCTCAAAGCAGAGTCAACCTTAATGATGTGGGGAGAGTAAAGATTTGGGGACTTTAATTTGCTGATATGGCACAACTCAAAATGAGAAGAAATAGTTGCAAACATCCATTCAATAATCAGGATATGGAATGTACAAAATATGAATCTAAGAAAATTAGAAGTCATCTAAAATGATACGGAATGTATAAAAGTCAATGTCCTAGTCATTAGTAACCTAAAATGGACTGGTATTGGCAATTTGGAATGGAACAATCATATGGTCTACTATGCAGGGGCAAATTGAAAAGGAATGGCAGCACATTCATCACCAAAAAGTATATTTTGAGATTTATCCTGAAGTACAAAACTGTCAGTAATAAGACAATATCCATACACCCACAAGGAAGACCCATTAATACAACTATTACTCAAATTTACATATCAACCAATAATAACAAAGATGAAGAAACTAAAGATTTTATCAACTTCTGCAGTCTGAAATTGAACAAACATGTAATCAAGATGCATTGATAATTACTGGTATTGGAATGCAAAAGTTGGAAACAAAGGATTGATAGCTAGAAAATATGGCCTCAGTGACAGAAGCAACACTGGAGATTAGATTGCATGATAGAATTTTTCAAGACCAACAACTTATTGCAAACAACTTTTTTCAACATCATACACAGCGACCATACACGTGGAGCTTACTGGATGGAATATACAGAGATCAAATCAACTCTATCTGTGGAAAGAGTTGATGAAATTCAATTATCATTAGTCAGAACAAGGCCAGGGGCCAACTGTGGAATTACCATCAAATGCTAATAAGCAAGTTCAAGTTGAAGCTGAAAAAAATTAAAACAAGAGCCAAAGTATGACCTTGAGTATATCCCACCTGAATTGAGACCATCTCAAGAATAGATTTGATGCATTGAACACTAATGATTGAAGACCAGATGAGTTGTGTGATGGCATCAAGGATATTACACATGAAGTAACCAAAAGGTCATTAGACAGAGCTCATATTGACTCCTCTTTGGGTTTCCGAGGCAGTATCTCTACTGAGGAGCAGCTGGAGGGTTTGAACTGCCAGCCTTCTGGTTAGCAGTCAAATGCCTTAGGTACCACACCACCAGAATTCCCATTAAAATGGCAGGAAATTAAAAAAAAAAGAGAGAGAGACCAAAATGGATGTTGGAAGAGAATCTGAAACTTGCTCTTGAATGTACAGTACCTATAGCAAATGGAAGAAATGATGAAGTAAAAGAGGTGAACAGAGATTTCAAAAGGTACAGAATAGCAGGCTCCAACCCAGACGCATTAGTGGCCTCTGTACCACTAAAGGCAAATGGAGCTGCACAGAAGCAATGCACTCTAGTAGATAACACTGTTTCCCAGTCTTCGCTTAGCTCTTACAACATCTCTGTAACAAATTCCTCGTATCAAACCCCCTCTGAAGCACTCAGTGTGCTTTGTTTTCCTGACTAGACCCTCTCTAACACAAACATGATTTGATTTATTATGGCTACTGTGGAGAGAACAGACTGGAGGGGTGGGGGAAGGCAAGACCTGTGAGAGGAAACTGCAATTCAGATGATGGAGACTGGCACCAGGGAGGGATAGTGAAGGAGGAGGGAAGGAATTATAAAGGCAAAGCCAGTAAGATTTGCTAGTGGATTGGATGTGGATTGTGAGAGGGGAGTTTAAAATGATTCAAAAAACATATCCCTATATTGGGAGGCAGGAGCTCTGTTAGCATAGTGGCTAAAGCACTTGACTGCTAACCAGAAGGCTGGCGGTTCAAACCCACCAGCCACTCCTCGGAAGGAAGGTTGGGCAATCCTACTTCCGTAGTGATACTGCCTCAGAAACCCAAGGAGGGGTCGCTATGAGTTGGGGCCGACTCGACGGCATATAACAACAACAACATCATATTGGGAGGCTATACAGCTTTCCAGTGTTATACAGCAGTATAAGACACTTTATGACCATGCAGAGATGTACAGAATATATTTCACTGGAATGATTGTCAAAAAGCACATACCACATGATCCTATCTTTGCATTGCACATATACACAAATAGTCAAGCACATTCTGCTGAAGTATGTATCTCATTATTTTTCAACAGCACTATGTATTACTAGTGGAATTTTCTTATTCTGTCAAGTGTATCCCAAATATCCATTAATGGTCAACTATACATTTTGTTGTTCCCCATCTACAAGGAGCTAGCAAGAAAAGATCAACAATCAGAGATATGGGACTTAAAGCAATTCAGGATGGCGAATGACAAACCAGGAGTCCTGGTAGTGCAATGGTTAAAGATCTCAGCTGCTAAGCGAAAGGTCAGTGTTTCTAACCACCAGCTCCTCCAAAGGAGAAAGATGAGGCAGTCTACCTCCATAAAGATTCTTTAATGCATTTTATTGAAATGTAATTTATGTACAGTGAAATACACAAAATTAAAGTGACATGGGTCAATGCATTTTTTTTTTTCAGTGTTCTTTCCCCTCCCCTCCCACCCCTGGCAACTAACAAAGAAAGTTTCCCTCCATATATAACCCTTTCCTTGACCCTCCACAACAACAAACCAATACTGTATTTATCCTTCTGTGATTGACTTATTTCACTCAGCATAATGTCCTCCAAGTTCATCCATATTATGCGGTATTTTGCAGACTCTACATTATTCTTTAGGGCTGCATAGCATTCCAGTATGTGTATGTACCATAGTTTGGTCATCCACTCTTCCACTGATGCGCATGTAGGTTGTTTCCATCTTTTTCCCATTGTAAATAGTGCTGTGATGAACATGAGTGTGCCTATCCTGGCTCTCACCTCTCTAGGATATTATCTAGTAATGAGATTGCTGGGTCAAATGGTATCTCCAATTCCAACTTTCTAAGGAATCACCATATTGCTTTCCACAGTGGTTGTGTCACTTCAGAGTCACACAAGCAGTGTATGAGAGTCCCAATCTCTCCACATCCCCACCAGCATTTGTTATTTTCTGTCTCATTGAACCTTGCCATCAGTGCTGGGGTGAGAAGGTATATCTCAATGCTACTTTGATTTACATCCCTCTGATGGCCAATGATTGTGAGCATCTTTTCAGGTATTAGCTGACCACCTGATACCTCCGTAAAGATTTACAACTCTGAAAACCTTATGAGGAACCGTTACTCTGTTCCTATAGGGTCACTATGAGTCAGAATCAGCTCCAAGGCAATGTTTTGTTTTGTAACAAAGCCCACTTAGCTACTTACACAAGTTCCAACTCAAGGATCTGTCAGCAAAGTATGTGTGCCAACTGTCCCAGTCCTATCCCCTCAAGATCCTAGCTACGTTTCCAAAGCTGAAGACACTGTAACCTCCTTAACTTCCTCAGACCAAGCTTCAACACCAACACTCTCATATCTTCCTCGCTTTTAAAGCTAGGTCTCTAGAGAAATCACAGCTACCTACTGAAAGATTTCACCTAAATATTAACTTTCTCCTCAACAAATTAGACACAACGTTGAAGTGCATTTCAATGCCATTCAGCACCCTTAGAAGACTGAGCACTCGGGGATGCTCAATGATTGGCTAAACCAATGAGAACTTGGGAGAGAGGAGGGGGTCTCTGGAGGAAAGTCAGTATAATGGCTCTTTTATTACTGGATGGAAACGCCAAGAGGACAGTATGTACTACACTGGTCTCTTGCAGGCAGAATGTTACAGGGAAAGGAAAGCACGTGATTGTTCCTGGGAAGGGAGGGAGGAGGAAGGGAGGGAGGGAGGGAGGAAGGGAGGGAGGAAGAAGGAAGAAGGGAGGAAGGGAGGAAGAAGCAAGGAAGGAAGGAAGGGAGGAAGGGAGGGAGGAAGGGAGGAAGGAAGGGAGGAAGGGGAGGAGGGGGGGGGGGAGGAAGGGAGGGAGGGAGGGAGGGAGGAGGAAGGGAGGGAGGGAGGGAGGAAGAAGGAAGGAAGGGAGGGAGGGAGGGAGGGAGGAAGGGAGGAAGGAAGGAAGAAAACAGCACCATCCCACCTTGGAGAAGGCTTTTGGATGAGTAGCAGCTATTCCGTCTCTGGAATAGCTGAAAGACAGGGACAGAAACGGCCAAGGTGGGAGAAAATGAAAGGCGTTATGAAGACTGGACTTGTCCTTGACGCTTCCAAACTAATTATGACGGAACACACCTGCCTTCCCCGCTGCACCACGTCTTCCCGTGGTCACCGCAGTCACCCAGGCATAGAGCTCGTGGTTTTGAAGAATTTAATTGGTCTTCGCAAGGCTGTCAGGAAGAGAATTCCAGCACTGTGGCCCCATCTTTTTCTTCCTGGGGGCCTCTTTTCACACTAAAAGCGTCACCCAAGACCAGGGCAACGGGCTTTAATCCAGTATCTCGACTGTGGGATTCACAGCCCGGGCTTTACACGGGGATGTCGGTCAGGAGTGGGTCCCGCGGCTCCATGGGAGGGGACTCCGGTCTCTGACTCTCGGTGACCCAGACCCTTAAGGCCTCAGCGTGTGCCCTCCGGCACTGTAGCCTACTTGTTCGCCCACATCGGAGCCAGGAAGCGAGGTAGGAACGGGTGACACAGGGGCGCAAGCAGCACGTGGGCTCGTTTTCCGGTCCCGTGGGCACCTCAAAACGCGCCCCACGTTGGTCTACTCTCTGGAACAGGGAGCCCTTGTCCAGCAGCTGTGACCCTGCCCCCTCGAGCCCCGCCCAGACCGAGCCTCCGCCAGGGACCAACCAGATTCGAGCTCCCAGCGGCCCCCGCGCGCCAAGCAGTGGGGAGCCGCAGGGCCTGCTGGAACTCGTAGTCAGCAGCCCAAGAAGGGTGCGTAGGGCCTCCTAGGAAGGCAGGCGGCTAAACCTGTGCAGCGGAGGGCGTAGACCCTCTGAGGGGTAGGTTGGGGTGGGGTGGGCGTGGCCTCTGACGTTTGTTCTTCGCACGGGTTGACGTATGCGAGTGAGGGCGGACTCTTTGTCGGGGTTGTGAATCTGAGTGACTATGACTGTTGTAGCATAGTGGCTAAGACACTTGCCTGCTAACCAGACAGCTGGCGGTTCAAACCCACCAGCCACTCCTCGGAAGGAAGGTTGGGCAATCCTACTTCCGTAGTGATACTGCCTCGGAAACCCAAGGAGGGGGGTCGCTATGAGTCGGGTTTGACTCGACGGCAAACAACAACAACATGACTGTTGTGACTGCATATGTGAACGGCTGTGTGTGACTCTCTGACGTTGTGTGAAGCCACTGTGGCTTTGTGCGATTTAGGTGCCGTATGACGTGTTGTTTCTGTTTGTGTGTGTGTCTGCCCGTCATTGTGGGACTGTAAGTGTATGTGCAGTGTTCAGGAATGTTGTAATGAAAACACTACACGTTTAAAATTCAAAACAAAAAGTTTATTACAGCAAACAGATGTTTTGTAAAGTGGAAAGACGCTGAGTCAAGCACTTCACAAAGTGCTCCAGGTGGTGTTCGTTTACAAAGACCTCAAAAGACAAGCAGAGCTCTGTTGCAGTGCCTAAGGCATTTGACTGCTAACTACAACGCTGCTGGCTCAAAGCTACCTGCTCTGCATAAAAATGGGGCAATCTACTGCCGTAAAGATTTATTGCCTCGGAAACACAGTGGGGGGTGCTATGAGTCTGAATCGACTCTAAGACAGTGAGTTTTTTTTTTTTTTGGGGGGGGTGTTAAAGAGACAAGCAGAAATTAAAACCTTTATAATTGGTCGACATTTACAGCGAATGTAGGGTAGACCTGACCCTATCTTGGGTGCTTGACCATTCTCAGAAACAGTCACTGCCTTGCTGTTTTTAGAAACTACACTTGCAGGTGTCAAGATGTCACACAGAGATTTTAATTTTAAAAAATTCCAGGAAGCGTGACTTCAGTGGTCGCTCATTCTCATAGTGTCTCTTAAACCCCCTCCAAAAAAAAAAAATATATATATATATATATCCTTTTCCAACCTTATAAAGCCCTGTACTTTTCCCATAAAGCCTGTTCTAACCCCCATTAGGCTCCGTAAATGTCAACCAATCCTAAGTGTTTTAGCTGTACCTTCCTACCTGGGGTTTTTGCTTTTTAAAACTCCTGCAACCAAGCAGCTCTCTGGGACATCACTATACGTAGACACAGTGTAAACTGCTTTCTCTTTTTCCACAATAAACTTTTGGGTTTACTTTTAACAGATTATTGGTGGCTTTTTTCAGCGCTACTGCATGACAAAAGAAGCCCTCCTTAATGCCCATCGAAGTGAGTTGGTAACAGCACAAACAACAAGAGTACTGACCCCACAGCAGCCAACACTCACTGACTGACCTCTTGCTACACGCCAGGTACCTTCTGGAGGTGGGCGCTGCTGCTACTCCGACTTCACAGCAGAGGAAACTGATTTTCGACAGGCAGACAGAAACCTTCCAGTGTCCTATAACCTTCCATTTAATCAAACATCAACGGACATCAGCCAGATACAATGGCACTGTGACGGAAATGCGAGGGACTGTCGTGAGGCACACTAGCACTCCGAGCTTGGAAGCGGAAGGAGAAGGGGGATCGCGCGCAGGCCCTCGCCTGGCCTCGGTTTCCCGGTCTAAGACGCAAGGCAAAGGCGACATCCACCTCCCAGGGCCGTCGCTGGAACAAAGAACAGGATGCAGGTAACGAGGTCCAGCGTGCTCACACAGCGCACATCCCTGCGGGCCGGACGCAGTGGGGCGGGCACCCTGAGCGCCTCCCAGTGGCAGGCGGTCGCCTGGCAACGCGCTGGCAAACGGCTGGGGCCGCGCATGCTGAGGGGGAATGCGCAAGCCCGTGGATGGCTGGAGCTACAATTCCCACAATGCTCTTGGAACTAACCAAGACCGCACTGTAGTCGATGAAAGCGGAAATCCTTACCCCTGCATTTCTCCCGTGCCTGTCCTCACCTTAACAAAAGGAATGCAGTCCTAGAGTAGAAAATGCGTTTTTGTGTATGTAAACTTTCCACTTATATTGTGTTTCACAAAACTCTGTGACATCATGTTGAGCTAGGAAACAAGAAAGCTCTCAAGCCTCAAACCACCGGCCTAGGCAACGGTCCGGTGTTTATGGCGCGGCGCCGCGGAGCCCCCTGGGAAGTGTTGCTGCTACAGGGCGCGCAGAAATCTGGGAAATGTAGTTCTCCGTGGTCGGACCGCTTCCACCTGGGCGCTGCGGGGACCCCCGGGTAAGGGATTGTAGGATGGGAGATGGGCGGCGAAGCTGTGTGGCTGGGGGCGACTTCTTTGTCCTCTTGAGCCCCACGGTGACCCCGGCGATCTCCTCGACACGCTCCAGAGCCTGGTTCGAGGAATGCCTGCTAGGGCGGCCTCGTAGTGCACACGCCTCTGTCTCCGGGCCGGCTGGGGTTACCTGGGGCCGCGTGGGAGGACACGAGGGGGGACACCGGGGTGAGGAGCGGCGGGCGAGTGGACAGGGCTGGATCATGGGGTTCTGTAGTGACGAGGGAGCTGTGGAGATGACTGTGAAATTGATTGTTTTGGGGACATCTGAGGGACAGTTGCTGGCATGAGGTCAGTCATTTGGGCCTCGGCTTCAGTGGTGGTGGGGTCAGTGGAGAGAGTGGATTGGTCTAGACTGAATCGCTGGAAGGGGCCTTTGTGGGGTCACTTTTGAAGAATTTAGCAATTGAGTGTCAAGAGGCAGGAGGACCATTCAGAAACTGGGAGTAAGGGAGTCCGTGAGTGGAACTGTTCTTGGTGAGTGATGGGTGTGGATCAGGGGTGATCAGGAACTTTGGAGATGAGTGTGTGTTTTATGATGAAGGTTTAGTTGTATGAATAATTAGGACTCTGGTGACCAATGAATTAGATGTCTTTGGGTTAATAATTAACTGGAGGCTAGCTGGGATGAATGATAAAGCCTTTAAACTAAACTCACTGCCAACGATTCACAGATTTCAACTCCTAGCGACCCCTCCTTGGGTTTCCTAGCTGGTATCGTTCCAGAAGTAGGTTGCCCAACCTTCCTTCCCAGGAGTGGCTGGTGGGTTTGAACTGCCAGCCTTCTGGTTAGCAGTCAAGTGCTACCAGAGCTCCTGATAAGGTCTTTAGAGGACATCTATTTTGAAGAGATGTAGAGGAGGCCAGGGAATTGTTGGACTGTGGATTTCATTATTTACAAGAGAACGACTGGTTTGTCCTCGGGTGAGCAACTAGGTCCTATTAGCAATAGAGTCATCAGAGATGAGGAACTATGGGTCAGGGCAAGGGGTGTGGATATAAATGGCTGACCTGTTGGGGATGGTGGTTGCATGGATAGTGGGATAGTAAATAGAGGCCTTTTGGTTGGAGTCATGGGAGCAAGGGGCCTGGGGTAGTGTTTGTGGAGCACTGGGAGCCCTTTCAGAGTGGTGATTAGGAGGCCGTAAGGAATTGTCAGTGGATGATGCATAGGCATAGGGTGATCAGAGAATGGGGTGTCATGTGGGGGTGAATGCTTGGGGGTCCTTTAGGATAAGAAATTGGGGATCCTTTGAGGTTTAGGGATGGGGCTACTTTAGGCAGCATGTAGTGACAGACAGTCTGAGGAGGTCACTGACGGCTCTGTGAGAGCAGTGATTGAGCACCCATTAGGGTGAGTGAGGGGTGTCTGCAGGAGAGAGTGATTGGAGTTCTGGGTGGCTCCTTTGGGATTCGGCATTTGAGGCACACTTTTAGTCCTTGAATAGAGGTTTTTAAAAAAACCCATGGCCATGGAGTCAATTCTGACTCATAGCGAACCCCATTGTGTTTGAGGCGTTACATCTTTACAGATGTAGATTGCCTAGTCTTCCTTCCATGGAGTGGATGGTGGGTTTGAACCAGGGAATAGAAATGTTGTTGTTGTTGTTACATGCCATTAAGTCAGACCTGACTCATAGCGACCCCTCCTTGGGTTTCCGAGGCAGTATCACTACAAAAAATAGATTGTCCCATTGAACCGCCAGCTTTCGGGTTAGCAGTCCAGTGCCTTAGGCACTATGTTACCAGAGCTACCGGGGAATAGAAACAGAGATAATTAAATGGGCCTTTAGGGGGAGTCAGTGGGATGTCTTGGGATCAGTGTTTAGAAAGTTGGCTCTTCCTCTTTCAGAGCTCAGTTGAATGTTACCTCCTGTGTGAGCCCTTCTATAACTAACTGTAGGAGGGAATGCTCTCCCTTCACTGTTGTTTGTTGTTAATTATGTGGTGTCGACTCAGGCATCTGGTGCCCCACATGTGCAGAGTTGACACGCTCCGTATGGTTTTCAAAACTGACCTTTTAGAAGCCGAGCTTCAGGACTGTCTTCTGAGGCACCTCTGAGTGGGTTCAAACCAGCACCCTTTCCGCTAGTAGTTGAGTTCTTGGCCAGCTGCTCCCCCCTGGGACTCCGTCCACACATTACTCTCTCACGGCATTCTTCTCAACACTCTTCTCGGTCTGAAATGATTTTATCTACTTTACTTTTTTTTTTTCCCCCCCCCCATTCTTGAATGTATTTCCTAGAGGACTGGGACCTTGTTTGTTTAATATTCTCTCCCCTGTGCCCAGAATAATGCCTGTAGTACAGAAGCTGCTTCCTTGACCGATAAATGAGTCTGTGAGTATGTGTATGTTTGTGGGAGTGGGAGAGTTTGCACGTGTGTGGGTGTATGTGTATGTGAAACTTTGTGTGATATGAGAGAGGTGGGTGTGGGGAGGAAGGGTACTGAGAGAAGCAGCCTTGGTAACTACTTTTGAATGTTAGTACAAACCGGCACACAATCGCTTTCCCAGGAGAAACAGCTGATTTCTGAGGAGAAGAGTAGGCACTGTTTGTTCCAAGGTGAGATGAGGAAGAAGCAACATAAAAGCTTTCCTTAGACCTCTCATCTCACTGGCCCCTCTGGCTGCAGCCAAACCCTGTTAGCCCCAGACCCACACTCATGCAGTCAGCTTCACTGGGGCCTACAGTCCCACCTGGGATCTCTTCTGGTTCTTACAACTGCTTCTGATCTATGCTTTCCTCTTGCACCAGGTCTGATTTTGGGGGAAAGAAGCCAGCACCCCAGGCTGATTCACTGTTTTGATCTTTAGCTCTTTCCTATTCATCATCCTGCCCGGAAGTGAGTTGAACTTTACTCCGCAACATCTATGAAAGCAATTTATTTCATGTAAGTGCCTTCAGGAAATTTGCTGGAGAATGAGTATGCTATCATTGTATTTCCATAATTTCTTGATGTCTTTGCAGAGCTGTTCGGTGTAGTTGTGCTGCCCCTCAGGATGTTTGCTGGAACTGGTGAGGTGGGTGGTTTCAATCTGACATTTATGGGTGGGACCTAGGTTGTTATTAAGTGCGATACGGGAGCAGACCTGGCCCAGATGCTGGTCACGCTCCATGGAGGCCTACTAGCTGCTCACTTTCCATTCTATTTCTTTCCCTACCAGCCCTGATTTCAGTCTCCCAAATATCCAGTCTGAGTCTTTAGATATGAGTTACCAACAAGAGAAAGACAAGATGGAGGACCCTAAATTAATTACATCAAGTAAAATAGAATTTCCGCTGAGTCCACAGGCTGTGGCACTCAGGAATGAGACAGTTCAGGTGAGGTAAGAAAGAAGAGGCCTCAGGACCAGGAATGCTTTCTTGGTGTACAGATCTTTGACCAGAGGCCTCTCCACGGAGTGGCAGGACGCAGACGTCACACCAGACAGCGGGTATCCCCGGAGTAGCAGAAAATGACCAAGTCACAGGTAAATTATTTGTTTATCCTCTGGCAGTTTTTTTTTTCAGTGGATGCAAGGCAGCTTAACAACCCTACAAAAGACATTGTATTTAGAGAACAAATAAACTTGGAGAAGAAGACTGTAAAGAGAAGCACAAGGTGGGTCATAGGACTATTCAACAGTCTTAAATAAGACATAATGCCCTTCATTGTTAGAGTTACGCTGCAGGTCTTTGATATTCCAAGTAGCTGTAACACAAAGGGAAACAGGGATAGCTCCATGGTTTCTTCTACCAGGAAAAGCAGAGTAGTTACTCAGGAGAAGCCTGATAATGACACATTGTTTTGATAGCTATTTTTTTAGGGGGTACAGTGGACACGCCTATAGTAAATGAGTAAATGCAACAGCATATTCCCTAGGACTTTTCCTTAAAGGCTTCCTCAAAATAAGCTCAGGACATAATTCTCAAGGAGAGCTCTTTCCACCCAGTTTGTCAGGGGACCACAACAGCATACCTTGAGTATACAATTGAGCTATATTCTAGTTCTAGGAAAGAAAATCATCTGGTATAATTGATGACTTCTAAGCCTCCAAACGGTACCCATCAATATTCTCTCCAGTGGAATTTTGATCGTTTTTGGTAGGAGGCAATTCAGTATTTTCTTTGTTTTCTGCTGGCCAAGGCTTAGCATGCAGTTCTCTGTCTCTAGTGCTCTCTCCTGACGCTTTTACTCACAGCGTGATTCTGAGTTCTCTGTTAGTCTGAACTCATCTTTTCACAGCTTCATGTGTGAGGATTATTTGGATCCTTCTCTCAGTAACATGTGCATTTGCTTCTGCTACATCTCTGGTTGCGCTTCCATCCCAAAACCCCTTTAAAACTTTCTAAAAGGTGGTTTTTTTTTTTTTTTTTGCAAAAGAATTTACAGTTCTTGGCACCTCAGTTGCTTAAACTGTGTATTCTAGAAGATATCTAAAAGAATTAGATAGTTCTGGTATGGAAACAGGACCATCCCCCTGAGAGAAGAGAGCGTTTTAAATATGGAAGTGCACCTACCTATCTGCTGTCATTTAGTGGCTAGTGGCCAGGGCTGCTTTTAACGCATGGGCCTTTCTGCTTGGCAAAGAACTGCTCCAAAGACAGCCTCTTCCAATTTCTTATTAACTAGATTGGAGATGGATGAATTCACAATGATAAATATTTTAATAGCATTTTTGTTTCTCCCTCAAAGTGCAATTCCTGATTAGTTTTCTATGGCTGTGTCACAAATTATCACAAAGCTAAGAGGCTGAAAAAAACAAACATTATCTCAGTTTCTGTGGGTTAGGAATCTGCCGGCTGATTACCTAAGTGGTTTAGATTTGTTGTTGTTGTTATGTTCTGTCCAGTCGGACTCGACTCATAGCAACCCCTCCTTGGGTTTCTGAGGCAGTATCTCTATGTAAGTAGATTGTCCAACCTTCCTTCCGAGAAGTGGTTGGTGGGTTTGAACCACCAGCCTTCTGGTTAGCAGTCAAGTGCCTTAGGCACTACGCTAAATCTGTCTAAACCAGGAGCTCTGGTTTAGATTTAGGCTCTCTAAATCTAAGTCAAGATGTTGAACATAGCTAAGTTCTCTCAAGGTACATTGGGGAGATGAACCCCTTCCAGGGTCACTCACACAGCTGTTGGCAGACACTGAGATCCCCTTCCAAGTTCATGCACATGTGTTAGCACACCTCCATTGCTTGCCACGGGGCCTTTTCACAGGGCTGCCTCACAGCGTGGTAACTAGCTTCCCCTAGAGACTTACCCAAGACAGACGCCACAACCTTTTTACATCCTAGTCCTGGAAGTGACATTCTGTCACTTGTGCCCTATTAAATTAATTGAAAGCAAGTTAGTAAGTCCTGCCCACACTCAAGTGGAGAGGATGACAAAAGCATGATTCCAGGCGTCAGAGGTCATGAGGGCCTCGTAGAGGCTGCCCACTACAAGTAGGAGGAAAGCCCGTATTCTGCAAGATCTGCTGGCAGTGACTTCAGCTTTAACAGAGATTGTGCTTTTAGGTATCCTTTGAGGATGTGGCTGTGGATTTCACACTGGAGGAATGGCAGCTGCTTAACCCTACTCAGAAGAACTTATACAGAGATGTGATGTTGGAGAACTATAGCAATCTAGCTTTCTTGGGTAAGAACATTCACTTACATAACTTACTATGCACCCAATAACTGGTGGGGCCTCTGAGGTGATTGTGGATTTAAGTTTCAGATGTCAAAGATTCTTTAATTTCTACACCCCATGGAAAGATTTTTATTCATTTGCTTTATCTTGCAGTCTTTTTAATAAAACATTCTTCACATTTAAGAATTCTTCGGCCCAAGCAATTGGATTCAGGTCCTCCATGTTTCCAATTAACAGGGTATCAAATTATCAAACCTAATGCAGTTTTCAAGCTGGAGCAAGGAGAAGAGCCATGGATAATAGATGAAGAAACACTAAGTCAGAAGTTTTCAGGTGAGACAGAACCAGGTTGTATGGGACGCGGTGAAAGCTAAATCCCAGTCATTGATAATGACAAATTGGCACTTTTGAAAGATTGTTTACAAAACTGTATATAAAGTTCCTGAATCTGGTGACATGTGTTCTTCATGGTTTTAGATTAATACACTATATGTCTGGTGTCCACTTCAGGGCTGGCCTTCTTTACACAGATTCGGGATGAAATGTGCCCCCTCTGACCCATGCAGTGGAATGGATTGATGGCTGGTTATTAGGACCTCGCTTTCCCAAATAGGGTTCTTCTTCCTGGCTTCCTCTGTTTCCTTTTCCTCTTTCTCCTCTGCCCCTCAGTCCAGTCTGTTGGGATAAGCTTCTTTTTTCTTCGTCAAGAATTCCTGAATTATTCTTCACTTTAGGTGACACTGACTCCTTTCAAGTTTCCTGTAATAATCTTTATTTCCCCCTTTCTCCAAATTTGTCAGATTATCTTAACTCATAGAAGAAACAGAAGGTGAATCCATGGGCAAAGAATAAACATCTGATACTTAAGGAGATCCTGTCTCTTCCTCCCTTATGTGCAGTAGGGGCTTTGAAGCCAGCTTCCAGAGCATCTTCCTGGAGTGTCTAATGCTTAGCTTCTCAGGCATCTTGTCCCATAGTCTGCAAGTTGAAGTCCCCCTTGTCTGCTATGTGATATTTAAACTCTTTTGATGTTACAGGATTTTGTGGTAGATCTCCATCTCGTTGTTCTTCTGTGCCCATAAGTCAAGGTTAACTCTGTTTAAGCCAGGTTCTTCCTTAATGTTGTTCCTACGTTTTGTTCTGTATATGGGCCTTTGAATATAGTGTGGTTTCCCCCATTAACATTATTGTTCTTTTAATTTTGAGTTCTTTTGTCACCTCCAGGAAATGTTCCTTGACTCTTAGCCTTTTCTAATATCTCTACTTAGCATCTGTGTCATAGGGAACTCAGGCCTGATCAGACCTTAATTTAGTTCAGAATTAACTAATAAGATTCTAAGGTGTCGTTCCCCCCCGCCCCCCAGACACACAGAGAGATGGCCAGTAGTGGGTTTTTTTTTTTTCCCCCCTGCTGTCTGTGGAATAAATACAGTGTGCACTTATTAAATATTTCATCAATTGAATTAGTTCTGGAGCCAGATGAGAGCAGACTCTTTCTTATTCATCAAATATTTCTTTACTACTCATATACCTAAACATTTATATCAATGTAGCTTGGGAAATGTTTGAAATTGTAGGTATCAAGACACCAGGCATATGGTCATTAGGTCTGGGTATTTGTGGTTTGGTAAAGCTGTCTAGATAGCTTTTATGTTCCTCCTATTAACTGTGAACAACTGCAGTTGTTTTCAATTAGAGAGATTGAAATAAGAGCCATGAAATACCTAGCAGGAGCCTGGAATGTCATTTTAGAAGATAATACAAAACTATATAAAACATTCAAATGAACATGAAACATTTGTGTTAAAATTCAAAGTTGATATATTAAGAAGAATGATGAAGAAAGGAACTGCTTGAGAAGTTCATTGATAGGTCAGAAATGTTTATGCTACTTGTGAAGATTCCTAAGTGTTATTCAGTGGGTATATACATGAGTGAAAAATGCAGACTCATTCCCTGTCCTCATGGAATTTACATTCTAGTAGGAGAGATGAAAGTCAAGTGGTACCTATTTGCTAAATGAAATGAAGGAGATGAGCAGGGTATTGTTAGTGAGTCATCACAGTGACATTTAAACTTGAATGAGCTAGGCAAGCTAGAAACTGGGGAGAGGGTGCATACCAGATAAAAGGTCCTAAAGCTGAAAAGGTCTTAGAAATGGAAGGGGCTCCATTGTGGCTGAAAAGTAGGAGTAAGAGTGATGAGAGATGAAGTTGAAGAGGCTGGAAAAAAGCAGGTTACACAGGACCATGAAAAGGCACGAGAAGAAATTTGGATTTATTTAAGGAGATGATTTTTGACTATTGTGTGGACACTAGTTTTGAATGGGTGCAGAACTGGAAGCAAGGTTATCAGTTGGGAGTACAGTAAATGAAGGCAGCTTGATAACACTGGAAAAAGGTGATATACTTGTTTTCCTAACAGTAAGATTTTCTTACTTTCCAAAGATTTTTGGACACGGTTGGATCTAAACTTTTAAATCTGTAGATCAAGTACTCCATTGTATTTTTATATCACTTATTATTTGAATAAATATATTTCTTAATCTTTTTTTATTCAATTTTAATTTAAAATTACTATTTTTTCACTCACATTTCATAAAACAATTCTTAAACTCTTTAAATGGATTTCATGCTTTACATATATACATGTTACACTTCCCTTTAATTTTCTAGCCACTTCTTTCTGTTGTCTTTCCTACCTCAGTGAGTAGCTTTACCATCTTCACTCCCTTAGGTCCCAAATGTTGACTCCTCCTTTTATTCTTCCATATTACCAGTTGTAGTTGGTTCTCTGACATTCTAATTATGTCTTGACAATTAGTTGAGGGTTTGGGGGAAAAAAAAAAAAACCTTATCCCATATAAAAGAAGTAGTCTTATATTTGAGATCTTGCTAAATCTTTCATGTTGCAAAATATGTCCTGGGAGTATTATCTCACAA